GTGTAAGACTTCCTAATTCCAGAAGAACTGAAAGAGAGGTGATGAAAATACTAAAAATAGGGCTAAGCTCAGAGGAACAAATATAAATGGCCAAAGAGACACTAAATCTCAAGTGAGTGTTCGGGCTAGCTTCAATGCACTGGATTGTGGCTTTAAAGATATAAACAACAATAACAAGAGATAATGAGCTAATGAGACAAGAAAGAAATGAGACCTGGTAATATCACACGTGATACAACTGAAGAAGGTCACTGGGAATAAATTTATAGAAAAAGAACAATAAGAAGAGAAAAGAAGGGCGCCAACTCAACGATAGTTGAGATTTTGAAGTAACAAATGAATCTGGAGATAATACTCTGAAATACAAAATTACTAAATAATAATCTTGTTTTGTTATGTTATATACTGTTAGTAGAACTGAAATAAAACTCGAAATAGCAACAATAAATATATTTATAAAAAATGTATATAGGTATATGTGTATAAACAATTTACATATAATGCAAAGCCAAATAACAGTGGTAGTGGATGGTGTACAGATACAATGGGACCTAATAGCCCCTAAACAAATGAATAGTCACTACCACTGGCCAAATAAAATATGAAATATTAGTATACAACAAGAATAGTCCGTAGGGTAGCCAAAGTCTTAAAACAAAAAGGTAGTCATTTAAATTTAAATTAGTTCTACTAAAATGAGGTACTAATGACAATATTGTAAAGATATCAAACTTGATAAATCTCTATTACAATTATATTAAATATATATATTACATCCAAAAAATGAGTTGTTCCATACTCATTATATCATATTTAAAAAAAAAACATTAAATTTATTTCCCTTTCCCAATATTAAATTGTATCATATCCAATGTATTGTATTAAAAAAAATATTATAGCAAAAAAAAGTGAGTTTGGTCAGACTCTGTATATTCTATTTAAAAACCCAATAAAAACATGTAATGTATTCTCTTCTCCCCAATATTTTAAAATTAGATTATCAAAAATTAAATTATCACAAGGTATTTTATCAAAATGTAGTTACTTGATCATATGCATATGAAAGTTAACAGTAAATAGAAAGTAATACGTAATACAAAAGGTCAAATAGTTAAACAACTTATCTTTACAGCACTATAAGTCCATAGGAAAAACTCCTCTTGGCACGGCTACATTAGTTTATGGCTGTAAGACGAATCCTGGTCACAAAAGCCACAACCAGTCACTGGTCTCTGGGTGACAGCAAAATCCACGGGTTTCATACACAAATTGCTAACTATCTAAGGATTCAGTTACTTGAGTCCTTGAGGGAATATTCTGAAGAGAATATCCTCAAGTAAAGTGAAATTAATATTTTCACGTGACGGAATCTAAAATGATTATTTAATTTAATAAATGTGTAATTCAATAGGTGTAGCAGCATGGATTGACTGCACCAAAACAAAACATCAAAACATTAGGTATTAGGTTAAGTAAACATCATGTCAAATTTATGAAGTTACTTTCGCGGGCATGGCAAGCTTGCGCCATGAAAAGAACATGCGCAGAATACAGAAGGCTGTACCACATTTGTAGAACCTTTTATATTCCACCAAAAAAATTAGGTAAAAAAAAAGAACCAAAAAAACTTAATGATAAGATATGGACTAGATCGGACTTTAGTTTGACTATATAAAAAAAAGTGACCTTATGTTCTTTGTAAGTAAATCAAGGAAATTTTATATTTAAATTATTTCGGAACTCAAAAATAAATCTCTAAAGAAATACTAAATACAATGATAAATTTGATTATATGATAAAGAGATAATACGTATAAAATGATTTACTTACATGGAGCTCGCAGCACGCCAACTCTTCCTTTTTATATGGAACTCATAAATGAATATTGATTTTAAAATTAATTATTACTATTATTATAAATGAATTATATTTTTCCCCAAATTATCTTCCTTGCTCCAATTCCGTCACTTTAAAGGTGAACAATTTCACCGGCTGACGTGGCTGCGTTCGTTCGAGTTCTGACCAAAAAACTACTCGCTTCGCTTCCGCACAAAATCGATCTTCCTTTCAAAGCGATAACAGCGCGTGTGGGGGAAAATGTCGATATAAAATCGATCGTAGGCGGGTAATAAAAATTTCTTGAGGGGTTTAAATTGGACTAGTCAGTAGCGTAAACGCTACAGTAACCAACGAACAAATGTTTATTGACTTTATATGAAATTCAGAATTATTTACCTCCTAATCTACATTTGTACATCAGAAAGTTCAACCTATTATAAAGTTTTTATGTTGGTAGTAAATGCGATAAAGTTTAACAACAGACGTTAGGCAACATTTTAAAACGTGAGTGGCGTGTTGTGAAAACAGGTGCATTTTAGGATATGTCATATATTTTACGTTTTCTTGTAAATCTATTAAAATTAGAAGTTTTATGATTTGCTATTGGTAAGTACATGTGCCAACGTTAGAGTTCCATAATAATTTATAACGCTTTATATAATACAAAGTCCACAGATTGTGGACCATATATTAGACCATGTTTTTGCAAAAGTTATAAATTTTATTTCTATTTTGTGTTAGTAGTGCCGGTATGGTGTAGACGCGAGACAATAAAATGTTAAATGGGGAACACCCCTAAAAATTGACTATGTTACATCAAAGAAATAAACTGTGAGAATAATCACTCATGTCATTGATTTAGCCCTGGTAAATTCATGGCTAGAGTATCGTACTCAAGCTGTTCTTTTGGGAGTAAACAAGAAAGAAATCCTCGATTTGTTAGCTTTTCACCAAGAAGTGGCCGAAAATCTAATCTGTAGTAGATGTGCTCCTAAAAGCGGCAGGCCTTCAAAAAGCTTCGAGGATCCAGGTCCCTCCAAAAAGAAAAAAACTGAAATAAGGTCTATAAAAGACCTTAGATTTGTTGGATACCATTATCTTCCACAGTATGATGACAAAAAGGAATCCTCAAGATGCAAAAATAAAAGGTGTAAGAGCAGGACACATATATTTTGTCAAACATGCAAAGTCAAAATTCTTTATGTATTTTAAAGGAAAGGAATTATTTTTCCATGTTCCATTCAAAGTAAATTTTAATATTTATATTACTTTTGACAATAATCTGATTTATAAGAGTTTCTAATGAAAAATTAACACTCAATGGTTTTTTTTACTTCCGTGAACTTTTTTTGTCCATTGTGATGGACATTCTGTACTGGAAGAGTGGGGGTACTTAAATTTTTTTTATGAAAAAAAATAATCTATAGTGCAATAATACCTTGTATACTAAAAATTAGAATTTTTTAATCACTCTAAATGGAAGTGATAGTGAAAGGGTTAACCTTATTTACGTCATAAGCAGTGGTTTCTAGCGGTTGAACATTTGTATTAGTACAGTACAAAGTATTATTAAATATGTTTATTTTACTTAACCCTCCGTTAGTCGCTATCGGTCTCACACACCGACGACAGAATTATTCATTTGGGATTTACAAATAACTGTTATTTTTCTATCGCTACTTTCTGTACCTCTCCCTATCAACCAAACTCGTGTTATTGTACATTCTTACATTCCTGGGTACAGTTGTGTAAGTTTTACAGTTATTTTCGGTGCCAGAGTCCGTAGCGACTAACGGTGTAGCTATTATTTGTTGCAGAACTTGCAGAACAGGTAAATATTTATCATCTTATTATTACGTTTTATCGGTAAGTTTTTGTCAATTCTTATTTATAGATGTTCTTTGAAGCCAAACAAGTTTGACTCCAACTCTTGTTGGAATTATGGACATGTTTCCTACCCACTATGAAAATTATTTTGACGATAAGGGAAGTGAAAGCGAAATAGATCAAATTGAGGTGGTGATGGTGAAAATGAATCGAAACAAGATGTGACAGATGAGAAAAACGAAAGTGGAAGTAACACCTTAGCGTTTATTGGAAAATATAGCGTTACTAGATGAAAAAAGGCTGTTCCACCGTAAAATGTTTGAACAAGACAAGAAAATTATATAGTACGTAATACAAACTAATGTTTGTATTTTGAGAACGATATCCGATGTGCAAATTAAAACATCAATGAACTTACTTTAACATTTAATTGTGGCTTATTCCCATTTAAACAGTAATTAGTTAAAAATACCACAAGAAAATAGCTTCAGAACAATATTCACAATATATTGTTATACTAGTGTTTTTCATTTTATATCTGTTTTTTTTTTCAAAAAAATATTTTCAAAACTATTTTTTAGTTATTCCTATACACAATATAAAATATTTGTATGAATTTTATAATAAAAACAATTTTTTTTAATTGTCGGTCTCAGACACCATAGCGACTCTTGATGCTCAGTTTTTCCTAGCGACTAACGGAGGGTTAATTCAATAAGATTATAATAGGTCAAACGCTTAAATACGTGTTTTTTTTCCACTTAGGGGTAGGGTTAACCCCTTAAAGTCAAAAAGCACACGTCGCCCATATATAACTTTTGGCAAAGGAGGGTAAGACAAGCTTAAATCCAAATCTAAATCCATGCAGTTCAACAGAATTGTAGGTATGGTAATATTTTTCCGCCCGATTTACTGGACTAGTTCAAGTTTCAGTTAAGCTAAATTTATTTGTACTTTAAAAAACAATATAATTTTAAATATGTTGTGTTTTTATAAAAAATTCAATCTTAAAAATAATATTATAATTTTTTATTAGAACATACACCTAAACAAAAAAGGTTAATCTTAAAAATTTATTCCATATACTTAAAATTCGAGGTTTGTTAATCACTCAACTGTAACAGATATTATTATTGTAAATACAAAAAAAAAAACAAATCTCTCATAACAAAGGTCTCATAATATCGCAATAATGTTCGACACAAGAAGGAAGTCTTGCGCAAACACAGAAAAACAAGGTGCTCAAGATTTACTATAAAAGTTAAAAACGGTTTACTTGAGGATTATAGATCCAACGAGTTGTTCAACAGCACAACAAATATTTTTTAATACTTTAAAAAGACTTTTAAAAACTCATTTAAAATGTTTAAATTGTTAATAGTTTGTGCTGTAGTGTCGATAGCTTATGCTAAACCAGGCGGTTTGGGTTACGGGGGATACAGTGGATATGGCGGATACGGAGGGTATGGGGGATATGGAGGTTATGGAGGCCATTATGCGTTAGCTCCAGCTACAAGTTACAGGTGAATTTTTATCTTTTTCTTAAAAATATAACAAAATTTAATACGATTTATTTCTTATCTAACTTCTATAAAACTTGAAAATATGTTTGATATTTTAAATAAATTTTATTTTTAATTCCACAAAATATTTTTGTTATAGAGAATTTAATTATATAAATATGCAGAAAATATCTTTATATAATTAAAATTATTTGATTACATGGATCAAAACTTGTTGGCAAAATTTTTATTTGTGTTTAATACTTTGGAATTCTGTATTAATGAATTGTTAATTTTGAATCCTTATTTTTATCTTCATTAAATGTCTTAATCTATGCATTATTTTTCACAACTGTTGCAGTTTTTCTCAATCTCAGACTTCTTTATTATTATTTAGGTTTTCAAAATGTCTACCTGTTTTTCTGATCCTTCGATAAATTATAAATTTATTTTTTCAAGATTTGTTATGATGAACTCAAGATACTAATCGCGACGACTAATCTAGGTCTTTCGTATAGTTCTGTCACAACGCGAACGGTCATGTTACAAGTTATAATTTTATTATAGTCAATATAGTGGTAATGATTTTTTTTTATTTAGTGTCCATTTTTCCGAATTTTATTAGTTTATTATCCGTTATTTAAAAGTTTTACATCTCTTATCAAATTTTAGTATTTCTTATTTAATTTGAATATATTATTGTTGTTTTATTTTTATAAAAGTTTTTTGTTTAATAAAAATGTATATATAAGACGTGATCTTTCCGGAAGAATTAAAAATTATGATGTTTTATTATTTTCAAAGACGATGTAATAACCTTTCCCGATAATTTAACTTTTCTTAAATAATATTTTAAACTTAAGTTTCCTGGTTTTTATTTTCTTTTGTTTTTATTAAATTAAATTTTGATTAATTAATAATTTCACTGCTACTACAAGTCTATCAAAGCAAGAAGTTGTCCAGGTTATTGTAAAATGAACCTAATGATTAATACTCTAAAAGTAAATGACGGTATTTTCAAAATTTCATTTAGATTTAATACTTGAGAATTGTTATCTGACTTAATAGCCCAAAGTATGATAAAATAGTATATAATTAGAAATTTAGATAAACATAGTAACAATAATTTAAACAAATATTGAATTTTTTTTTTTATTTTTCGTAGTCCTGCTTGGGAAATCCAGACTATCGATACTGCTCTCCAGTCCTAGACGTTCACATTCTTGATCAATTTTAGATTTCCGTTTCCTTTTCTTAACATTTTCAATAGGTGGAGAAGTATCTTCCCTTGATAACTTGTTTTTCAGCTGTTCTTAAACGGTCCCAAACTGAATTAACGCTCAAGCCTTTCTCGTCGAAGAAGAGTGGTGCGAAGAAATCTTCTCGTTCTTTTTGATTCGGATTTTCTATTTTTACTAGAATTTTGCTGTTGTTGTAGAAGAAGTTGTGTAGTGGTGAAGGTATATCCGTTTGACACGTCGCTATAGTTAATACTGGTAATCCAGCATGTATATCGTCTAAAATAGAGGCAACAGTATGTTGGTTGCATTCGTCGATGACGTCCCACCATTCGTCTATTCTGGACAGTAAAATAACAGGTGGGAATTGAAGGTGCAAATTAACTACATTCCCTCTAAGTTTATTAAATACTCCTGAATCGTATACAAAAGTAGGAAGATGTTCCATGGTTTTTAGCAGAGAAGGTATCATGTGTGTGTTTAATCCGAATGTAAATTTTCTCGAATTAACAACATTCTTCCAGCGTTAAATATTGAAATGTACGATTGATCATTATTCTCTCTCCTGCTGTCGCTCAATAAATAGCTTCTTCAATTTTATAATAATTTTTAAACTGTTTGTCCTTTGTCTCGTGTTGTGTAAATATATTAGTTAATGTTTACGACATTCACTAAATTGTTGGATAGCCTAATTTTGACGAAATGCCTCTGAAGATGCTCTAGGAGCGAAAGTACTAGGGCAAGATTTAATAAAAACTATGCTCGATATCTGCCTTTTATTTGATTTAAATTTTCAACTAAATAAATTAAACTTTTTTGTACTGTCAACTTTGTATAATTATTCTTTTATTCATATCCTACGAATCCTCCATAGAGCTAGGGTCAGGTGAGCAGGCAGGCCACTCCGAACAGTAATATCTTATTATTCAAGGGTGCTGCTGGACACTTTGCTGGTATATGGAAGTGAATTATCATGTCTGTATAAAAATTAAATTTTCTTTATTTGCACCTCTCCAATTCCTAACGACAGATTCTAGAACCGAATCAACATAATCGCAAGCTGCTAAAGTTGATTGTATGGAAACTACAGGATTTTTTCACCCATCATAATACCTCCCCAGAACATAAGTCGTCTTCTTTTCTTATATGTGAACAGATCAGGAGTTATTTTAGCCATTTAATTAAATAACTGAAACATTAATACCTGTATCTTTTAAAAGCTGCCTTTAAAGCTGCCGGGAAAAAACGTTGGGACTCTTCTAGTTACTTGGACAATGAAATGATCGTGGCGAGCCGTTGATAGTTTTTAGCCACTTTGTCTTGGTCCATTCTTCTTCTTCCGGTAGTGCATATCCTCTATGGAGGTCGGCTACTACACTGGCCCATCGTATTTTATAAGCAGCTGTTCGAAATATGTCTGTGGTGGTTATACCTGTCCACTGTCTCAAATTCTTAAACCAGGATATTCGGCGGCGTCCTGGTCCTCTATTTCCTTTTATTTTTCCTTCTAATATCAATAGTAGGATTCTGTATTAATTTTCATTTCTCACTATAGGTCCGAAGGATAATAACTTTCTCTCTTTAATTGATTTCAAGACTTCAGGTTCTTTTTGTAAACGTTGTATTACTGCTTCGTCAGTTATATGATGCGCATGCATCGATAGCACCACATCTCTAAAGACTACAAAACGCATCAGCGAGTGTCCATGCCTCTGCTTCATACATAAGAACAGAAAACGCATAACAATTTAGGATTTTAAGTTGGAGATGTAAGTTCAAGATTAAATTGCAGAGAACTTTCTTCATCTAATGGAAGGCACTCCTTGCTTTTTGATCATACATTTAATCTCGTATGAGTGATCCCAGCTGTCTGTGGTGTTGCATCCCAGGTATGTTATTTTTTCTGTTCTATCCAATACCTCATTGTCTGCCATAAACTTTGCATCTGTATCTTTGTTTTTGCTTGGGATCATAATTTTCGTCTTCTTATTATTAAGTTTCATTCCATATTTTCTACCGATGTTAAATACTTGATATATCAGTCTTTATAATCCTTTAGCACTATCCGCAACAAGGACAGTGTCGTCTGCATATTTTAGATTATTTATTACTACACCGTTAACAATCACACCATCAGTCGTTTCTCCCAAAACTTCTCGAAATAGATGTTCAGAGTACGCATTAAACAGCAAAGGCGAGAGTATGCAACCTTGTGGTACTCCTCTTTGTATTGGGACTTTATTGGATAATTGATTGCTTGAATTACTTACAAAGCCTAATTATTATATACATGTTTTCCAGCCATTTTTTAAATGCATAAACAATTGTTTTAGTTCCCGTATTGACTACCATTCACCAGCCATCAAAACGTACGTGGCACCTGCAGTGAGTTACCACAGTGCTCCCCTAGTATCTTCATATGGACTTGGTCACGGATATGGTGCAGGTTTAGGATATGGCGATGGATTAGGACACGGTTATGGTCTAGGACATGGCTACGGCGGCTACGGTAGTGGATACTCTTTAGGAGGATATGGTCATGGTTGGTAAATAATGTAACTCGAAGTTTAAATGTCTATTTTAAAGTTCTCATGTGTTCATTTGTATATTTTGTAAAACGTTAAAAATAAATTATTTCCCATTTTTAATTATTATTTAATTATTCTAAAAACCATCTTTACATCGAAAAGAAGAATTAAGTTAACTTTGATGATATTAAGTATGGAAAAGTTAATTGATATCTGATAAAAATTATTCAAATTAAATTAAAAAAGAATATTAATATATATAAATAATAGGGTAGATAATATACAAGGAGGTAAAAACACATTAAAAATAAATAATTGAATTAAAAAAAAAAGTATTTTAAAAGTTTGTAAACTATTTTAATTTCAAGCTGAGAGCATTCGACTGACAATACCATCTTCAAAAATATGCAACAATACAAGTAAACAACTTAATATACTCCATTCGCTTAGCTCGGGCATATTTTGACAGATTCTTTGTCTAAAACCTACAACACAAAAATTCCTACTTCTCAGTATTAATAGCTCAAATATACCACTATTGCAGACTTCTCTCTTTGAAAAAAGAAGAATTATTCCAAATAGTGGAAGTGTATACTAAACCCATAAAATGTTCCGTGTATATTTAAAATATAATATTTGAGTTGTTACAATTTAAGATATTGTAGTAAATATTTGTATTATTCGCGTTGTTTTTTTTTATATTCGTTAATATAGTTTTATTGTTCTATTATTTTTGTTTAATTCTTTGTTAGTTAGGTACATTTAGTGAATTAGTTAGTTCTATTTTGAATTTTATTATTAGAGATAGTCAAAGTTTTCCATTTGTTCTATCAGATAATGCGTTTTTAAGTTTTTCTTAAATAAATATAAGTATGATAAATGTTCTTAAAAAGTTAATATTTTTAGATGAGTAAGGATGCTATTAAATTACAAGGTAATCAAACTACACAAAGATTTATTCAAAACACCAACCATTTTTTTTTTTATTATTTGCTCATTCGGCGTAGGTTGATCATTAAAATATATTTATGATATTATGTAAATATGTTCCTAATAACAAAAATATTTCAGTTAACATCCAGTTCAGTTCTACATGGTGTCAAAAATTAAATAAAAGTTACGGTAATTTAGTTTATATCAAGTTGCTCCAAATGTAGGCAACCAACTTAAACTTTTTGTTGGCATTTAGCTGGAGTTTCATGAGAATATTTTTAATAAACATTTAATATTTTCCAGTTAATTTATTTTTTTTTAAGTGACAATAATAATGCTAAATAAGCAATATTACAAATGATATTTAATCACAAAACGTACTTATTATAGTGTTATATAATCCTCATAATAAAGTATGTTAGATAAAAAGAGGTAAAATCCGAGGTCATCCAAAACTAGTTTCTGATAGGAATAATAGAATATTATGATCTTTTTTTTTTCTAACTTACTAAGTCTTGTAATTATATAGCATTTGAAATATTGCTTATTCAGCATTATTATCATCACTTTTAAAAAAATAATAAATAAACTGGAAAATATTAAATGTTTATTAAATCTATTCTCAAGAAACTCCAGATAAATGTTAACAAAAAGTTTAAGTTGGTTGCCTACATTTGGCGCAACCTAACGATAAAAACTAAATTACCGTAACTTTTTTATAAAATATATTTTTTATATATAATAGAAACTTACATTCTTTATACATGCTATAAATTTCTAAGTCATAGTATAAGTTTGCAAAAGAGGTCGACGAAATACTCTAATGAAATGCGTTATGAGCACGTGTGCTTGGTTGTATAATAATTTCCAGCCTCTCAAAAGTAACTTACTTCGTAAAAACATAATTACTAAAATCACTAGACAGTTCGGACTGGGATTAGCAAACCGAGTATATAAGTAGCTATTGGAGTATTACAACGTTGAACGTAGGTTAAAATTTAAAAAGTTCCACTGTGTTCGATAACATAGTGGCAGACTAAACTAATGTTTGTTTTTAATAAAACAAACGGTATTTTATTTCATTTTATAAATCTTCTTTACTTCTCCATCACAACGATATATACTTTTGTTGTTATAAAGGGTATTTACAAAGTTATAATCTATTTTCTATGAAAATCGTAACCAGTTCAACTCCACGTATAATTAAAAAGAAGCACAATTACAATGACCTACTGCTGCCATATCTTTTTATTGATTGACAAAATTTTTAAAAATAATTCATATTGCTAATTTTCAGTATGTCGAATACAGCGTGAGTCAAAGCTCAATTACATTATATTCTCAGAAATTTTAAATGAAACATCCTGTATTTTATGTCGGTATCGAAAAGTACCATTTCCATATTTAAATTTTTTTAATATTTTCTATATCTATTTTTTTAGTTTTTGATATACTTTTCATATTTCATATGAATATTTTTATATTTCGAAACACATTAATAGATAGTTAGATGTCTAAGTTTTTATAAATTTTAATTAAGCCATGACTGAATCGTCTATAAACTAAATAGTTAAGATGAACTTTCATCATCATCATCATCCAGCCCTATTTTCACATCCATTGTTGGATATAGGCCTCCTCCAAACGTCTCCAGTTCTCTCTATCTTTAGCTGCTACAATCCTGTTTGTTTCTATTCTCCTTAGGTCGTCGGTCCATCGGGTGGGTGGTCTGCCTCGACTTCGCTTGTCGGCTCTTGGTCTCCACTCCAATAATCTCTTCGTTTATCTTCCGTCTTCCATTCTAGCAACATGTCCAGCCCATCTCCACTTTTGTTTATTGATTCGCAGTATAATATCGTCTACGCCAGGTCGTCGGCGTATCTCCTCATTTCTCACGAGATCTTTTAAGGTCAGGCCCATCATTGATCTCTCCATTCGGCTTTGTGTTACCCTCAGTTTTTCGGCAGTGGATTTCGTTAAAGTTAGGGTCTCTGCTCCATAGGTCAAGACTGGTAAGATGCATTGGTTAAATGCCTTCCCTTTCAGGTAAATTGGGATATTTGTTTTAAAAATGTCTCTCATCCTTCCATATGCCGCCCATCCCAACGTCATTCGTCTATTTAGCTCGAAAGTTTGGTTGTCTCTGGTTATTCTAATTTCATGACCCAAGTATGTGTATTTATCGATTAATTCAACCTTGTTGTTATTAATTTGTATCTCTTCGCTAGGAACCATATTGGTCATCATTTTGGTTTTCTCGAAATTTATCTTCAGCCCAGTTTCTTGTAGTATGTCATTCAGTTCTTGGAGCATGTCTTTGGTCTTTCCCAGATTATCTGACAGAAGCACGCAAAACGTAGATGGTTTAATCTTTCTCCATCGATGGATATTCCTTTCTCTTGCCATGTTAGTTTTTTTAATGCATACTCAAGAACGGTAATGAACAGCTTTGGTGACATGGTATCACCTTGCCTGATTCCCCTTTTTATCTTTATTTTATTAGTTGCAGAATGTAGACTTATGGTTGTGGTGGCATTTTCATATATATTTTTGACTATATTACAATATCTGTGGTCGAAGATGAACTTTACTGTTGAGGAAATGGTATTGAGCAAATAAAACTGCGTTATTATTAGTAAGAATTTATCATGAAAGGTTTTCTGGGAGGCGACAACCTACAACCAGAAGCTTTGAAATATTGAAGGATCGATTTAACCACATTAGTTCAGTTATGTATGAAAAACACGAACAAACAAAATGTACTGTGACAGAGGAAAAAAAATAAATATGTTGCGTGTAGTTACTGAAAATTCATATACAAGTTTCATTATCATCATCTTTGGCTCGACAATCTTCTGTGGATCCTGGCCTGATGTTAGTTTAGTCGCCATTCTGTTCGGTTTCTGTACCATCTTCTGATCTCTAGTATTCCTAAGTCAGTCTCAACTCCATCTAACCACCTAATTCGCGGTCGGCTTCTACTTTTTCTTCCTATAGGTGTTCCCTATAGGTGTCCCCTGTCGTTAGATTTTTAGCAATAATGTTGTCAGGCATTTGTGTCATGTATCCGGTCTATCTAAGTCGCTGTGTTTTAATAAACGTTACGACATCTGGTTCATTAAATAGTTAGTATAATTCGAAATTAAATCGTTTATGCCACAGCCCTTGATCGTTTACAGTTCTAAATATTTTGCGGAATATCTCACGCTCGAATATTCCCAGAAGTATTTCATCCTTCTGCGTTAAAGTCCATGTTTCCATCCCATATATGAGGACCGGCCTCAGCAGTGTATTTATATGATAATTTTAGTTTTTTTTTGGATATTTCATAAGTAGAATTGTGTTTGGAGTACATAGTATGCCCTATTTGTATGGACTATTTGTCTCTTAAATTCTTTGCTTGTTTTATTGGTAGTAGTCACTAGCGAGCCAAGGTATGTGAAGCTGTCAACACGTTCAAAGATATACTTCCAAATGCTGTTTTCTGTTCCTCATTTGCTATAAGATTGTCAATGTCAGCAGCGTATGCTAAGATTTTTATCGATATATTGTAAATAGTACCGCCGTCTCTAATTCGCGTGCCTTAGACTACCTTTTCCAAGACAATGTTAAATAGGAGGCAAGCCAGGGCATCCCCTTTTTTGAATCCATCCTTTATCTCAAAGGATCGAGAATTTTCTCTCTATATCCCAACGCTGACTTTTAAGTTAGACATTGTCATTCTCGTTAATCAGATAAGTTTTGCTGGTATACCAAACTCACGCATTGATTGGTATAGTACTTGTTCTCTTGATACTATTGTATGCCGCCTTAAAGTCGACGAATAGGTGATGGGTTTCAATGTTAAATTTCAATGTTTTCTCGAGGATCTGTCTTAGTGAATAAATCTAGTCAATTGTTGATTTTTCTGGAGTAAATTCGGCCTGGTATTTGCCGACTATGCCAACTCTGTAAATTTGTAGCCTTTCGAAAAGAATATTTGTTAGTATTTTGTAAGAAGTTCTTAACAGGATTATATCTGGGTAGTTGTCATACTGGAGCTTATCTCTTTTTTTATGTATCGGGCATATCACGCCTTGAGATCATTCACTGGGCATGGTCTCTTTTTGCCAAACAAGAAGTTAAAGTTTCATACAAGTATACACCTGCTGTATTTAATTGCACCAAAA